CGTTCGAGGGAAAAAAAATGACGGAAATTTGTTCCATCATACATAAATGTACGATATACGGTGAAAAAAATTACATGAATTTGGACTTCAGTTCTCCTTTAAAAAATATTTAACACAGAATGCCAGTAATTCAGTCTTGTCGTTATTTAATTAAAGGTGGCTAACCAGCATCCAGTGATTCACACAGCTCTTTATGTTAGACATCCTTATCACCAGGTATAGTTGGCTCGAAGGACAAATAAGGTTGTGAATCATCAGCATAAAAACGATAGCTCAAATTGAATTTCCCAACAATGTGGTGACTTGTTAAAAAAATATAAAATGGGTCTTAAAACAGATCCTTATGGAACTCCACATCTAAGAGCAGTGTGCAATCTAGAATTTAGTCAAAATGGGTCATAATTATGTCCCTCGTGACATTTTAAATTGGGTCATTTCAAAAATGGTTTGGGGTCAAACTATGATACTGAAACTTCGAAAAAACTGACATCCAAACTATCACCAGCATGTTATGGTTTTTTCTTCACAGTTTTGATATGTTTATAGCAGTAAACAGTAAAATAATCATAAAGCTGAATCGTTCTTTTAAAAAATGACAGACCCATCCTTAGTAAACGACGCCAAAAAATGCCAAACACTTTTTTCATTTCATGCTTTCTGATCCCTTGTAACTATTAACCTCAAATTATGTTTTCATTAAATGGAAAGATTTTTCCTGAGTTAGCTTGTTAAGATCCTCCAGATCAATATTAGTATCTGGGCAACTGCCCACCTACCCATCCCCTAACCCAACATTAACCCTAACTTGTTATCAATTGACTGTTGTTGGGTTAGGGGAGGGGCAGGTGGGCAGTTGCCCAGATACTGATATTGATCCGATCCTCCTATCCTTCTTTCTCTAATGCTGCAAGGCAGATGCAAAGTCAAATTGCTTCCTTTCCAGCCCATCAAACGAGAGAGAAGAATGTCATGATCAACATTATCACAAGCAGCACAAAAGTGTAAAAGCTGTGCCATATATTAAACACTGGGCTCCAAATGGTTGAGGAGTGGAATCCAGTTTTTACTTATATTAACCTTTCTTCACATTGCTTCGTTCTTGAGAAGCACAGTCGCCGGCGTATTCGCAGTTGAGGGCAACTTTCCCAAACCATGGTTGTGTTTCCGTCCTTGAACTTCTTGAGCTTTGATCGTTTCTCTTAATTCTCTCGCCTCGATTTCACTCTTGATGGTTTCTAACAATTCCTCGATTTTCCACACATTAGCGGTTGATTTTCGCGCGATTTCAAGCCTTATTTCGTTTGTTAGCTTAGACATGATAATCGGTATTAATAGACTGCCATACTCCTGTGCTGTAACTCCGAGTGAAGATAATCCTAGCACATTTACACTCGACTTATTGTAGAGAAACCGAAGAGGCAATGGGCGATCACTTGTACAGGGTTGGAGTTTGAGGATCTCGTCCATGTGCGCGGAAATTATCTGTTGCGGTCTTCCAAATCGTTGTTCGAGAATTTCCACTGCTGAATCGTAGTTGGAGCTTGATAGAGCCTGAATGGCTTGACTTGCGGCACCTTCCAAAAGTGATATGAAGTAGTTAAACTTGTCTATTTTTGAAATGTTTTCGTTGTCGTGAACTGCGGTCTGGTATGAATCCCAAAATCCTGTCCAGGTCGTTACGTCATCACGAAATTTAGGAAGGATTAGTTTCGGTAATTTCGCCTTGAACTGATTGATAGGTTGCTGTAGTATGCCTCCAGGAAGCGTTTGATTTAATCCTGCGAGTGGATTGATAGTTTCTTGAGTAGTCCCGTTGGTCTGTTGAGAAGTATCGTTTATTTTGTTCTGGCATGTGATAATCTTCTCCACATGTCTTTCTGATTCTTCTATTTTTTGTGGAATTTCATATAGGCTACACAAAGATAGAATTTCTTGATCGTTGTCTCCAAGAAATGAGAGTTTCGTTTCCGTCAATCGACTTACAACTTCTAAATGTTGAACTTGCACGCTGGTTGTAAGTGTTTCGTCCTCCACAATGTTGCTAACCTTTGTCACATTTTTCGTTACAATGGAACGCTGAGTTCCTCGGATTGCTCGCAATGGTATAAACTTTTCTTTCCTTTCTTCGATCGTCATTATGATCACGCGAACAGTTCTTCCTTTGAAAGACATTTTCGTGGTGGGATCTCACATATCTGGTGTACATTCTCGGAGACGCAGACTTTTAGGAGGATGAGTTGTACCTTTTCACAGTTTTCTGCTTATAGCAAGTGCTTACATTTGTACGTTATGACTTGAAGCTTCAGTTGCACTCACCAACTGGCTTTAATGTCATACTACTAAAGAGCTTCAGCTTAACTGAGGAGGTGTTCATGGGTGGATCTCCTAACTGGGTGATAACTGAGAGGTCATCCAAGCTTATTACATTACTTATAACTCCAGCATGTAATAGACATGTCAAGGTTGTTGTGAAGTCTTCTTTAGCCGATTTGAAGATACTGATCTCTGCAAGCCACTGGTTTGCTTTAGTTTCGACTAGAGATACAGCTTCCACTTGCAAACTGCTTTCATCAGAACTGTCATCTTTGTGTTCTTTTAATTGTTGATTTTTGACACTTACTGCACATTTTCTTGAACCCAGGTACCTCTGTTCTTCTTTGATGAAGTTGTTTACGACCGCAGTGTTAGTGCAGTAGTCGGTTCGGTAGGACCTTGGGGTCTACTCTTTTCTGATTTCTTCTCTAAATTCGACAATCTTTTTCCATCTCTCTTCTCACTATGACGTCTTACTATGATCATCTTGATTTGCTGCGTGGTGATTTCACTCATAATGTACATCTGTATAGCTTTCTTGAAGTCCAGAGATTTTTCTCTTAGGAGTCTCAACTTTGTGACCTTGACTCTTTATGCCAATGACGAGCCTGTCCCTGAGAAGCTCATCTGTTAGTGCACCATATTGTTAGAATTGGTTTCTCTAACACTCGTTTGTGGTCTGGTTGATCCCTCTTTATTTGCTTCTCTTCTCAAGTTGTTACAATGGGGACTAGCTTCAATATATCAGGGAAAACTAGAGTCTCCGCTTATAAAGGTGTCACTGCGGATTACATTTCTAAGCCGTCAATCTTCTTGTGTTGTCATCGTACCATCTCAACTAGCGAATCATGCTTGACTACGTATTTTAGTTCCCACATACTGAGCAAGCACCTTAGGGTTGTCTACGCAGTTACAAAATCAATTTCTTCCCTAATTTTCATATCTTTACGGTTGAGATCGGCCAGAACAGAAACGAGATCGACAATATAAAAATTACAAATAACCTTGGTGTAGAGTGTTATTTTACCTAAAAGTGTATCTTATGAGAAAACCACCACCAAGGTGTCGAACGCGACCTATTACTAGGGAGATTTACTCTTCCTGGACTAACAAATTAACTTATTTAAGAACAAGGCCTATCACAAGTTCCATGTCAACTTCACGATCACAAACAAATAAGACCACCAAGAAGGCGTACGAAGTAATCAACCTGCCATTTTTATAATTTACATTAAATGACTTAGAATAATATTATTATTTCCATTCCTTTTCTTTCTAACACCAATACAGAAAACCCTTACGATATTATAGATTAACTATAATTGTAATTTTATCATTTAACAAATTCTCCCTACTTAGACGGAGCTGTCCCCAGCTCCCAAAAGAGTTATGAATATGCGGTTAGATAAGTGGATTCATTCTTAAGCGGATATATGGTTAAAGTTGCTAACATAAAACACGAAAATGTCGTGGTGACTAAATAGGGGGAGTAAATAAGCCCTTTTTCTTTCTTTTTTTTTTTGTAAAAACTGGTGTGGTTTGCTGAAGGAGGTAAATAAAAATAAAAAAAATTATGTGGTCGTTGAGCCATTAGTTGAACCTAGTTGTTTACGAGCAGTAAACTTCACCGCTCAAGTGAATAGACCAAACCAATATAGCCACGAGCAGTAAACTTCACCGCTCAAGTGGTGCTCAACGAACTAAGAAAGAAATAAGTACTAATTAGTTAAGTAGATTTAAACCGGTGTATGAGGGTAACTGTACATGACCAGGAACAAAAAAAAAAAGATACGTGATCAAGAAAAATAGGTAGCGGCAAAAGATTGAGCCAAAACGGCGTAACTGCTGTTGCGTAAAAGCTCGAGTAAATCCTCTGTGAAGGGGGATCGAATGCGCATATGGCGAGGGAGATAAATTTGCATCAAATCAAAAATGACATGTGTCGGAAAAAGGGGATAATCGCAGCGGCGAATAACGGAAAAAAATGAACGAGGGGCAAAAACAGTCTGAGGAGTTTGTTCCAGAAAATCTAAAATGAAATCGACTTCTAAAGAAGTAAAAGTTGCGGGGAGACAAAATTGTTGTGAAGTATGTTCAGTTTGGCAATGTTGACATAGGGAAACAGTATACTGGTTATCATGGCGTGCCAAATATGCCTTATAAAAATCACTAGAAATTGAAAGTAAAAAGGGTGAAACTGGGCGAGAAAAACCATATGAAGGGATACAAACGAAATGAGTTCTCTCTGACGACTCCGCCAATTGAGAGATGGGAAAGGAGAGGTCGAAATCCATGGCGTGAAAATCTGGAACAGACATGAAGAGAAAAGCGAAGCGAAAATTGATGTAGTTTGTGGTATAATTGCAAATGAAATATGTGGACGGATATAAACTAAGGAATAGCACACAGTTGAAAAGAATTTGTTGGAAAAACTACGTAATACGCTGGTCTGAAGGTCAGTGAAAGAGAAGACGTTGAAAATAGATTAAAATTTGATTTGCGCGAAAAATAATCACAAGTGAAAAAATAAACACAAGTGAAAGAACAACATTGGTTGATTCATTTGGCGAATAGAAGCCGAATCATGGCGAAGTGAGAACTGTTTGAACAACGAGCATACATAAGCGATAGCAGCCCTTGAAATTTACACATCAGCGTGAACAATTAAAAAGAAGATATGAATATTCTTATAGCGGAACCGGCTTGTTACAAGTAGGACACACCGAATTTTGATTTTGTGAAGTGGCTGGTTGTAATTCGTGTAATTCATGGTCGTCAGCGTTGGCTGTAGCCGTGTCCTTACGTTGCGCGGAGGCGCTTTTGCGTCGAGACAAAACAGTGGTTGACATCGATGGAAAGGATTTTGGCTTAATGGAGCAACAGTATAGAATTATGAAAACAAAACTATGAATGCATACAAGACCGAAAGTAAAATAAGTAAGCCAATCGTTTAGGGTGGTAGATTGAACCTTGTGTAGGTGGGATATCTCGTCTTTTAACGTTGCTAACCGGGTAGTAAGTTGCCCATCTAGTATACGAAAAGTGTGGTCTAAAGAAGTCGTTGTTTTGTTGTCGAATTGAAGCGGCGGTGTCAGATTCAATGAGCTGTAATGTAATCGCAAAGTTTTGTCGTCGTTATGTGTCCACGGAATGTAGCGAAATGATTTATGAGAGAAAAGTGGTAGATGAAAGGTGATGCGGTCCGGACAAGTTCCCAGACCGGTTTGCTGAGAGGCGAAAGTGAGATCACAAGGAAAATGGTAAACGATAAGAGGAGAAATACGTAGAATGTGCGAAGAACTGTTGGTGGTATTGTAAACGTTAATTGAACCATGCTGTGTAGATAAGTAATAACGTCCTCCTAAATGAAACAATTCGTTGATATTTGAGCAATTGGGTGCCTTTTGGTGGCGGCGAACGAAATTAAATTGAGTGTCTCTGTGCCAGGGCAGGCCCAACCAACTAGTGTCATTGACCATTTGTAAAATGTGTTGAGGGCAAACAAAGGTTTCATCAGTTCGATAACATTTACCCAAAAGGGAACGATGTAAGATATATTCGGTATGTTGGCATCGAAGTAATGCTAATTCATCTCGAATAACTGGACCTTGGAAACAAATGCCTGAAAGGTTGTATTTGAGTGGCATTAAGTACTCAATTGTGCAAAGACTGTTGGCCGAAGTTAGTTCTGGTATGGTAAAAAGAAAATTAATCGCAACTGACTTCCCCATGTGGTATTGGTAATCTACGAAAGGTTGTATTAAGAGGGGGTATCCCGCGCTCAATGCCGTAACAGTATCCTGTAAGGATGGTATTGTTTCTAGTCTGTGCTGTAGAGCGGTAGCCACAAACGAAGGTAATGCGGTAAACCCGACTAATTGTTTGTTATGTAATTTATGTGCCTGATGTAGAATATCATTAATTTCTGTGAAACGGAGTTGTTGCGAAAAAGTTCGAGTAACCTCAAAAGAAAATTTTGAAAGAAATTCCATGAAGTTGTTAAAATGACAATTTTCGTTCTTAGCGAACAATTTTAGCTGGGTTTGCCAATCGGAGAAAGTCGAGTCAATCTGGCGAAGAGCAGATTGAAGTTGGTTAACCTTGGTAACCAATCGGTCGGTAACTTTGGCGAGGTATACAGTTTTGCCATTAACCGTTCGTATCAGATAACCCATGGTTTGCGTGGCCCTAAGTGATGCCGTAAACGTCTTAATGAGACCCAAAACATTATTCTTTTCACAAGATCTTCCTAGAACTTTGGTATAGAAAAACCGTGGAATTCCTAAAACACCAGCCGAACAAGCCCAAGGCATCGTTCGTCTTCGCCTGGACCCTTGTCTGCGATTCTGCTGCGTTTCCAGCAACCATCGGCGTTCCTTCGCGCTTATGTTGTCACATTGCTTCAGAGCCCACAGTTTGCATTCATTCAGTGATGTTTTATATGCATAGGGACAATTCATTGCCGAACTAAACCCGGTGGAATAGTGGTAGTATCTGCACAAATAAGAATCGCATTCGATCAGTGAGGTATAGCTATGCATGGACAGAAGTCGTTGCATAGCCCTTTGAGAGGTATAGATCTTTTCTAACAATTGCTTCAAAAATTTTGAAGCGTCCTCGTCACAAGTGTCATTAATGGTGAATTTGGTGCCCATATCTGGCGCTCGCAAATCAACGAATAGGTTAAACAGTTTGGTATTTTTATAGAACACAACTGGGTGTGGATTGTGTGAAATCATGAGCGATTCAGGGTAGTAGGTCACCCGCTTACCATTAAGATCATAGTCGGTGAAAAGGAGTTTCGGTCTTCCTGTGCATGTACAGCTACAAACGATAAGGTAAATAACGGAACTAGTAGTATTAGTACCGTTCTACTTAGACTTTTTGTTGAACTCGCCCAAAAGTCGGGAATCCAAAATGTTTTCTTCGTGATTAAACTCACTAGGTGAACGTGGCCAAACTCACAAGAAGGACGTGACTAAACTCAACCTTTAAGATAAGACCACTAAGAAGGCGTACGAAGTAATCAACCTGCCCTTTTTATAATTTACATTAAATGACTCAGAATAATATAATATTTTCATTCCTTTTCTTTCTAACACCAATACAGAAAACCCTTACGATATTATAGATTAACTATAATTGTAATTTTATCATTTAACAATATTCGCAGGATGTGGCAAATTTTCTCAGACATGCGACATAACTTTGCACAGATTCTTCGCTTTGCTGTACACATGTATCAAAAACAGACTATTCGTACACCAAATTTCTTCTGGGCTTGAAGTGGTTTTCGAAGGCTTCTAAGCATTTGTTGATTTTCCTCTTATCTTCCTTTGAAAGGTTTAGTTGAGTAGAATCAAAAGACATCCTCTGCCCATCAATGGAGACTTAAAGTTGTTCAACGGACAGATTCTTCTCGCTGATTGAGGCCTGTTGCTGTCTCATAGTGCTCTATTGCTGCTTGAAAAAATCCCAGTTGTTAGCAACATGACCATGACACTTCTAGGACTCTGTAGCGGAAAACTAGGCGAAATAACTTGATTAATAGATCGTTTTCACTCACGTGACCAATTCCTTGACTACCGTTGCTACGCCGCCATATTGGTGTACCTCAATTGTAAACAAACTAGTAGCGTCCTTCGCGTGGAACATCGTTTTGTGTCTGATCGTTGGCTGTGGCAGCAAAAGTGGACGAGATAAAGGGTTGTACTTTGCAAGGGTGCCTTCTGTGGTCACAAATCAAGGCGAAGAGGCACAGAAACTATCCGAAGAAAAAAGATCGCGCTGGATTTCAGCGATAAGCCGTGACGATCTGACCGAAGAGATCTTAGAAAACGATCGTGTGTGCGAAAAGCATTTTGTTTCAGGAAGGGCAGCTAAGAGCTGGAATAAATTTAATATTAACTGGGTTCCGACATTGCTTTTGGGACACAAGAAAGCTACTGATCGAGCAGATCATAAAGAAGCGGCGGCAAAACGAAGCGAGAGAGCGAGGGAACGTGAACTGGTGAAGAAGCCGGCTTTTGAAAAGAGAGAACGAGAGCTAGAACTAGAGCGAACGGCGAAGAGACAGAAACTTAATGAGCCCGGTGAACAGGTTTCAAACCTCAGCTTTGAAGGAAATGAGGACGAAGAGAAAAAATTAACAGTTGAAGCTGGCACACAAACTGAAGAGTTTGAATATTTATTCAGCTCTCTAAACATTGACCGGAAACCATTTGATCGGTGGGAATTTGTACAAAACGAAGAAAAAGTTAAATTCTACACTGGATTGCCTTCCTTCGATATCCTGCAAAATGTTTTCGAACATGTTTCTCCGTTTGTTGCTTACAAGTCCCCGAATCTGACCACATTTCAAGAGTTTGTCATGACTTTGATAAAACTTAAACTTGACGCACCACATCAAGATCTTTCATATCGCTTCAATGTCTCCCTTTCAACAGTTTCAAGGATTTTTTCATCCTGGATGATAGCGCTAGATGTACGCCTGGCTCCACTTATCAACTGGCCTGAACGTGAGGATTTATGGCGAACTATGCCACAGTGTTTTAAATATTCATTTAGAAACAAAACTACCGTGATTATTGATTGTTTCGAAGTATTTATTAATAGACCATCAAATCTGCTCGCAAGAGCACAGACATGGTCATCGCACAAACACCATAACACTGTTAAGGTGCCGATTGGGATAACTCCGCAAGGTACAATCTCCTATGTTTCCCAAGCTTGGGGAGGACGAACATCAGACAAATATTTAACTGAGAACTGTGGAATTTTAAATAAGTTGTTGCCTGGGGATCTGGTCTTGGCTGACCGTGGTTTCACCATCGCAGAGAGTGTTGTGTTTCAGCAAGCACAACTAGCCATCCCTGCTTTCACAAAGGGAAAAGACCAGCTTGACCCTGTGGATGTTGAAAAAACTAGGGGGATCGCAAATGTTCGCATTCATGTCGAAAGGGTTATTGGCCTCCTTCTAAACCTTCTAAAGCCACATGTCAGTTTCATATTAAAAATCATAACTTAGTACAGTTTTGTAGCTGATGACCAAGTGTACTTAGTAGGAAATTCAAGTGGTAGGGAACAACTGCATCATGCCAGCTCTCAGACATCTATGCAAGTGTTGGCGCATCCTAGGAATGTCAAAAATCACATTACATGGATTTTGTCCATAAACAAGACATGTTGCAAAGGCTATGGCAAACACTCCGCAGTCACTGACATTCATTTGCTGTTGTACTGGGATGTTAGAAATGCCCTGAAAGTTTGGACCAAGCAAAGCCTCTACCAGTTCCTTAAGTTCCTTTGAAATTACTGGCTTAGCAAGACTGTCCATTAAATTTACATGTTCAGGAGGGCAGGCAATTGAACTGACACACACCCAGTGATTGTTATTGATTTTCAAAATCTGAATAAAGTCCCCAGTCATTATATCAAACTGCTTGATAGGTCCGAGTGTTGGTCGTTGGAAGCCACGTATGCTGCTATTGACTTGCCGTAAGATGGTTTGGGTCTCATGTATTATTGTACCATCTAACCATCCTGTTGGTGACATGATAAGGTCATATTCTGCCTGCCCCAGTTTGGCATATTGCTTGTACTTTTCAATGGGGGTTTCACTTTTCACCTCTTTTACAAACTTCACTCCATCTTCAGTACTGGAACTCTTCTGTTTAACAGGTTTACAAGCTGGACAAACCCATGTTGTTTTACTGGTGTTTGGCATACGTTTAAGATTTATGCAAGCCAAATGAAAGAATCTGCCATTCTTACAACCTTCATTGTGACATTCTAAGAGCTTATCAGTTTCACTTGGCTTCTTTTTGCAAACAAGAATAGAATCCAAGATAAGGGCATCTGAAGGTGCTACATGTTTCTAGCCAGCTTGAGTGGACTTCTTTGTGCATTTGAATTCAGGCAGTGTTCTGCAGTTGGGGCAGTACCATGTTTTAGGTGTGCTGCAAATACCTAAGCATGACAAATGGAACTTAAAAATAGGACAATTAGCATTACAGCAGCTTACTGTGTCTTCAGCTGTCACAGTTCGGCAAAAGCAAACAGAATGGGCTTCCATTGGCTTAACATCACCAAAGTCATGTTTCCTAGTGTACCATCTCCCTAAAACTTCGGGTAATATGCAAGTCCTCCAAAACCTGGTCAGTTTAGGTAAAACGGCTTCCCAATGATCTTTGTCAGGGAAATGCCTTTGTGTTACTAGCTTTGCCTCTCCCACATGTCCAAATGCACACACTATAAAGTCACAATATAGCCTCTTGCGTGTAAACAACTGTTGTTGTACTTGAAAATAATACTGATGGTTTGTCTTTAAACTGAAATTTCCAGTGCCTGTTTTTTCCAGACAGGAAGATGGTTTCATTACATAGTTATCAAAATCACAATTCTCAGTGCAAAGGGGGCATTTCACCTCGCCACACCCTTCTCCACAACAGTCGCATGAACATAAGAAATCGGGAGTTGCATGCAGCCATGGATATTCTTCGTTTATCATAAGGCCACATTCCTCAATTTTGAAGTTGATATGTTCCTTCTTCATTATCTCTTCATAAGCACTAATTGCTTCCTGTTCATGTTGACACCCATGAATTATAGCTTTGGTGTTCAGTATACAAATATTATCCTGCGAGTGGATTGATAGTTTCTTGAGTGGTCTCGTTGGTCTGTTGAGAAGTATCGTTTATTTTGTTCTGGCGTGTGATAATCTTCTCCACATGTCTTTCTGATTCTTCTATTTTTTGTGGAATTTCATCTAGGCTACACAAAGATAGAATTTCTTGATCGTTGTCTCCAAGAAATGAGAGTTTCGTTTCCGTCAATCGACTTAAAACTTCTAAATGTTGAACTTGCACGATGGTTGTAAGTGTTTCGTCCTCCACAATGTTGCTAACCTTTGTCACATTTTTCGTTACAATGGAACGCTGAGTTCCTCGGATTGCTCGCAATGGTATAAACTTTTCTTTCCTTTCTTCGATCGTCATCATGATCACGCGAACAGTTCTTCCTTTGAAAGACATTTTCGTGGTGGGATCTCACATATCTGGTGTACATTCTCGGAGACGCAGACATTTAGGAGGATGAGTTGTACCTTTTCACAGTTTTCTGCTTATAGCAAGTGCTTACATTTGTATGTTATGACTTGAAGCTTCAGTTGCACTCACCAAATGGCTTTAATGTCATACTACTAAAGAGCTTTAATGTCATACTACTAAAGAGCTTCAGCTTAACTGAGGAGGTGTTCATGGGTGGATCTCCTAACTGGGTGATAACTGAGAGGTCATCCAAGCTTATTACATTACTTGTAACTCCAGCATGTAATAGACATGTCAAGGTTGTTGTGAAGTCTTCTTTAGCCGATTTGAAGATACTGATCTCTGCAAGCCACTGGTTTGCTTTAGTTTGGACTAGAGATACAGCTTCCACTTGCAAACTGCTTTCATCAGAACTGTCATCTGTGTGTTCTTTTAATTGTTGAATTTTGACACTTACTGCACATTTTCTTGAACCCAGGACACTCTGTTCTTCTTTGATGAAGTTGTTTACGACCGCAGTGTTAGTGCAGTAGTCAGTTCGGTAGGACCTTGGGGTCTACTCTTTTCTGATTTCTTCTCTAAATTCGTCAATCTTCTTCCATCTCTCTTCTCACTATGACGTCTTACTATGATCATCTTGATTTGCTGCGTGGTGATTTCACTCATAATGTACATCTGTATAGCTTTCTTGAAGTCCAGAGATTTTTCTCTTAGGAGTCTCAACTTTGTGACCTTGACTCTTTATGCCAATGACGAGCCTGTCCCTGAGAAGCTCATCTGTTAGTGCACCTTATTGTTAGAATTGGTTTCTCTAACACTCGTTTGTGGTCTGGTTGATCCTTCTTTATTTGCTTCTCTTCTCAAGTTGTTACAATGGGGACTAGCTTCGATATATCAGGGAAAACTAGAGTCTCCGCTTATAAAGGTGTCACTGCGGATTACATTTCAAAGCCGTCAATCTTCTTGTGTTGTCATTGTACCATCTCAACTAGCGAATCACGCTTGACTACGTATCATAGTTCCCACATACTGAGCTAGCACCTTAGGATTGTCTACGCAGTTACAAAATCAATTTCTTCCCTAATTTTCATATCTTTACGGTTGAGATCGGCCAGAACAGAAACGAGATCGACAATATAAAAATTACAAATAACCTTGGTGTAGAGTGTTATTTATACCTAAAAGTGTATCTTAAGAGAAAATCACCTTTAAAGATTGTTACATAACAACATCTTGGTCACAAGAGTTAAAGAAGAAAGGCGCTCACAAGTACCGCCCCCAAATTGCTTCTTGTTGCGAAAACATGAGGGACATCACCTGTTTACCCTTAAATTACCTCTGGGAACACGAAGGTGTCGAACGCGACCTATTACCAGGGAGATTTACTCTTCCTGGACTAACAAATTAACTTATTTAAGAACACGGCCTATCACGAGTTCCATGTCAACTTCACGATCACAAACAAATAAGACCACCAAGAAGGCGTACGAAGTAATCAACCTGCCCTTTTTATAATTTACATTAAATGACTTAGAATAATATAATATTTCCATTCCTTTTCTTTCTAACACCAATACAGAAAACCCTTACGATATTATAGATTAACTATAATTGTAATTTTATCATTTAACAAATTCTCCCTACTTAGACGGAGCTGTCCCCAGCTCCCAAAAGAGTTACGAATATGCGGTCAGATAAGTGGATACATTCTAGAGCGGATATATGGTTAAAGTTGCTAACATAAAACACGAAAATGTCGTGGTGACTAAATAGGGGGAGTAAATAAGCCCTTTTTTTTTTTTTTTTTTGTTGTAAAAACTGGTGTGGTTTGCTGAAGGGGGTAAATAAAAAAAAAAATATGTGGTCGTTGAGCCATTAGTTGGACCTAGTTGTTTACGAGCAGAAATTGAAAGTAAAAAGGGTGAAACTGGGCGAGAAAAACCACATGAAGGGATACAAACGAAATGAGTTCTCTCTGACGACTCTGCCAATTAAGAGATGGGACGGGAGAGGTCGAAATCCATGGCGTGAAAATCTGGAACAGACAAGAAGAGAAAAGCGGAGCGAAAATTGATGTAGTTTGTGGTATAATTGCAATGAAATATGTGGACGGATATAAATTAAGGAATAGCACACAGTTGAAAAGAATTCGTTGGAAAAACTACGTAATACGCTGGTCTGAAGGTCAGGGAAAGAGAAGACGTTGAAAATAGATTAAAATTTGATTTGCGCGAAAAATAAACACAAGTCAAAAAATAAACACAAGTGAAAGAACAACATTGGTTGATTCAGGCCCAAGTCGCACTAGAGGACAATTTCAGATTTGTCCAGGACAAATCTGACTTCAAATCGGCCAGTGACAAAAAATTTGTCCGGAAAGCTACAGTCGCACTTGAGAACAAAATCTGTGAACAAAAGATCACACCATGCTGTGAGCGTCACGCAATTTCCCGCGAAGCAGCCTTTACCCGCTGTTTCAATCCACAAACCGCGACACGAGGGATCTCAAAATGTTTCCACGAAGAATTCTAGCAATAATATTTTTCTTCTATTTTCTGGTCCAGTCGAATCGTGGTTCGAGATCCATTATACTGATCGAACAATACCTGGGGACTACTTTCGAAGGCTCTTACGAATGAACAGAGAAAGCTTTGATTTGTTGCTCAACGTAATTCGTAACCGGCTGACGAGACAGAATACAGTTCTGTGAAATTGCCTCACTCCTGAAAAGGTCCTTGCTTGTGGTTTGCTTCGCCTTGCACACGGAAATTCATACGAAACAATAGGACCTGCGCTAAACGTCGGCAGAACTACAGCAATAGAGGCTTGTCAAGACGTGGTTGAGGCTCTTTATGACTTAAGGAATGAGTACATCGAATTCCCAACAACAGTGGCCGAGACAATGAGGTGTATAGAGACATTTACGGACAAATCACGACTTCCAAACATTGTTGGGGCCATAGATGGCACTCATATCAAAATAGTTGCTCCTAGAGACAGTGCTGTTGATTATTTTAGTCGAAATCAGCAACATGATTTCATTATTCAGGCCGTTGCTGACGGTAAGGGATTATTTCTTGACTTTGCAGCGGGTTATCCGGGAAGTATCCACGACGCTAGGGTATATCGAAACAGCTCGCTTTATCTAAGAGCAAGCAACGGAGATATACTCAAGGAACCCGTTGAAAGAATCGGCATCACAGATATTCAGCCTTACCTGGTAGGAGACAGCGCATACCCTATTTCCCCCTGGCTTATGAAGCCTTATCCTGAAGCGACGCGTGACCCTGGCGAGATAACATTTAACAAGGAACTGTCGTCTGCACGAGTAACCATCGAGTGTGCTTTTGGCTGCCTCAAAAGTCGTTGGCGAATTCTACAAAAGCGGTTGGATAGCAGAAGTGAAGATTGCCATTGCTTGTGCAGTGCTGCATAACTTTTGCATTAAAATTGGGGACGAATGGGAGGATGATTTTTACGATGACGATGATGACCGCGGAAACGAACAGAACAATGACTTAATGCAGGACGGGGAAGATATAAGAGAGTTGCTAAAAAACAGTGTATGATTCTTCAAATCCCTTTTTTTAATTATTTAATCCTTCGAACTTAAACTTATACTGTATTTGATATTTCACAAAGAAAATAGAAGAAAATCAACGAGAAAATACTATAAAAATATTGCATTGTAATTTGTGCTCAACATGCGATTGTTGAATCATAAGAAACGATTTCCATCACCGTATTGAATTTTCCTGCAATTTTACAGACATTCATTGTTCAGATTTTTAAAGAGAAGTGTGTGATAAAGATAACAACAAGAAATCAGTTCAAAAAGTACATTCATTTGTTTCCATAATTTCGTTTGATCGATTCGCAACATAAACAATAACATGTCTTTTGATAATGGTCGATAATGATTGTCTCCCAATAGTCCAAAACAGTCTTGAATTAAAGTTCAGTTGTCTTTCTCATTCTGTTGGCCAATGATTTTCACAATGGAGCCCATAAATTGGTTCATCATGGCTAGCTGCTGCGTCTGTGATTGTTGCAAAGAATCCATAAATGCTGTAACTTTCTCCCCCTGCTGCCTCATATCCTTTAGAGCCATCTTGAACTCTTCGTCGCTGTCATTATCAGGAGCTTTGCGTTTCGAAGCTCGTTTCCCTTTCTTTGACGCTCTTCTCTTTTCAGCTGGAGTTTGTAGCACATTGGGGCTAGATGAAGTACTGTTCTCGCCAGTAGTATCACTTGATTCAGCTACAACTTGGGGGGCACTTTCGCCGCTGATCCCCGCTTCGGCTACATTATTGAAGGTTACTAGGTCGCGGCATCCAAGGATCTTATCGACCTCATCGTAGTAGACGGATTTCCTAAGGTTTCCTCCTGTTTGGTTTTTGTTCCAATCTTTTGCATTCTTGTATCTTTGTATGATGTACTTCATTTTCCGAATACATTTGTCGGCCGTCTTGTTGGACTGTAGCGCTTTCGAAATCTTCTCAGCGATCCAGGCCCACGTTTTCCTGCACTCTCTGCTTTCCAACTGATCGTGTTTTTCAGCCCATAGTTGGACTAACAGTTTTTCCTCATCTTTAGTCCATCGTTCCTGGGCCTTCTTGTTCTCGGAAGATGTACGGCGCGAAGAAGTTTGGGATGATTCCGGCATTGAGCCGTCTTCGACGAACGGAAAGGATTCTGACAACGAGCCAGAACTTGCGGTTGAAGGAGATGGGCTTGCAGTTCCTCGATCATTAAAATTGTAAGTGCTAGGCAACGGATATATCCATCCTGGTGGATATTCAGGATATTGTTGCCCCATTTCATACGGAAAGTATTGGTTGCCCGTGCCTGGATTCATGTTGTTGCGAAATGAGAACGTGACCAATTTTGCCGCGAAGTCTATAGCATAGAGACTCTGCTACATATCACCTGTCAAATCATTTCCGAATTAAAACACCCTCGCTATTGTTTTCCAAAATTTGTCTCAATTTGGCCTGCTCCAGAGGTAGTCGACGGCATCTTTGAAGTTTGTCCGCCCGCGACCAAATTTTGTCCTTTGGTGAACAAACCGGTCGCACTTGGTTTTTCATTGTGATGACAGATTTTTGACATAAATAAACAGTTTTGTCCTCTGGTGCGACTTGGCCCTCATTTGGCGAATAGAAGCCGAATCACGGCGAAGTGAGAACTGTTTGAACAACGAGCATACATAAGCGATAGCAGCCCTTGAAAGATACACATCAGCGTGAACAATTAAAAAGAAGATATGAATATTCTTATAGCGGAACCGGCTTGTTACGAGTAGGACACACCGAATTTTGATTTTGTGAAGTGGCTGGTTGTAATTCGTGTAATTCATGGTCGTCAGCGTTGGCTGTAGCCGTGTCCTTACGTTGCGCGGAGGCGCGTTTGCGTCGAGACAAAACAGTGATTGACATCGATGGAAAGGATTTTGGCTTAATGGAGCAACAGTATAGAATTATGAAAACAAAACTATGAATGCATACAAGACCGAAAGTAAAATAAGTAAGCCAATCGTTTAGGGTGGTAGATTGAACCTTATGTAGGTGGGATATCTCGTCTTTTAACGTTGCTAACCGGGTAGTAAGTTGCCCATCTAGTATACGAAAAGTGTGGTCTAAAGAAGTCATTGTTTTGTTGTCGAATTGAAGCGGCGCTGTCACTTTCAATGAGCTGTAATGTAATCGCAAAGTTTTGTCGTCGTTATGTGTCCACGGAATGTAGCGAAATGATTTATGAGAGAAAAGTGGTAGATGAAAGGTGATGCGGTCCGGACAAGTTCCCAGACCGGTTTGCTGAGAGGCGGATGTGAGATCACAAGGAAAATGATAAACGATAAGAGGAGAAATATGTAGAATGTGCGAAGAACCGTTGGTGGTATTGTAAACGTTAATTGAACCATGCTGTGTAGATAAGTAATAACGTCCTCCTAAATGAAACAATTCGTTGATGTTTGAGCAATCGGGTGCCTTTTGGTGGCGGCGAACGAAATTAAATTGAGTGTCTGTGCCAGGGCAGGCCCAACCAACTAGTGTCATTGACCAGTTGTAAAATGTGTTGAGGGTAAACAAAGGTTTCATTAGTTCGATAACATTTACCCAAAAGGGAACGATGTAAGATATATTCGGTATGTTGGCATCGAAGTAACGCTAATTCATCTCGAATAACTGGACCTTGGAAACAAATGCCTGAAAGGTTGTATTTGAGTGGCATTAAGTACTCAATTATCCAAAGACTGTTGGCCGAAGTTAGTTCTGGTATGGTAAAAAGAAAATTAATTGCAACTGATTTCCCCATGTGGTATTGGTAATCTACGAAAGGTTATATTAAGAGGGGGTATCCCGCGCTCAATGCCGTAACAGTATACTGTAAGGATGGTATTGTTTCTAGTCTGTACTGTAGAGCGGTAGCCACAAACGAAGGTAATGAGGTAAACCCGACTAATTGTTTGTTATGTAATTTATGTGCCTGATGTAGAATATCATTAATTTCTGTGAAACGGAGTTGTTGCGAAAAAGTTCGAGTAATCTCTTGGGTTTGCCAATCGGAGAAAGTCGAGTCAATCTGGGGAAGAGCAGATTGAAGTTGGTTAACCGTGGTAACCAATCGGTCGGTAACTTTGGCGAGGTATACAGTTTTGCCATTAACCGTTCGTATCAGATAACCCATGGTTTGCGTGGCCCTAAGTGATGCCGTAAACGTCTGAATGAGACCCAAAACATTATTCTTTTCACAAGATCTTCCTAGAACTTTGGTATAGAAAAACCGTGGAATTCCTAAAACACCAGCCGAACAAGCCCAAGGCGTCGTTCGTCTTCGCCTGTACCCTTGTTTGCGATTCTGCTGCGTTTCCAGCAACCATCGGCGTTCCTTCGCGCTTATGTTGTCACATTGCTTCAGAGTGATTTACCAACACCTGCACCACCACTAACACTGCAAAAAAAGTGGTGTTCACCCGTTCGGAAAACAAGTTGTGAATATTTGAAAACGCAGCATTATTCACCCATTTTCTGACATTTTCCGAAAAGAAAATCCAACGTTCTCCCGTTGTTTTCGAGTCGGCAAATTGGAGTATTCGTTCCATTATCCAGCAGTTTTCCTCCACAGTGAACTCTATGAAAACGATTGTTTTCTTAGTGTTAAGAGTACGGTTAACAGACGGGAAAACAGTTTGTATTCCGTTGTTTACTGGTGTTTTCTCAGTAACAAAACATTGTTTTCACAGACGTTTTCCGTTGAAGACAATGCGTTTTCTTCCATTTTCTAGGACAGTAAATGCGTAGATAACGCTTGAAAACCAAGTGTCGTCCAACGTTCACGGGTTGGTTAACAAATTGAAATACAATGTTTTCTAGCATTTGCAGATGTTTGCGTTGAGGAAACGCGTTGTTAGCGGCGGTTCACCACCCGAATGCGGTTATTCCCACGCATTTTCTTGTATTTACCGTTCGATTATCGTGCGGAAAATGGCATGTATTCCTATATTCATCGGTGTTTTACACTGTCAACCATTTGGAAATTTATATTTACATTTACTTCTCTCGCTCCTAATTTCTTTAGCTCCAGGCTCCCTTGCTCTAGAACGATTTTGAAGAAGTTCTACCAGTCGCTGAATCCACTTCGCAAATCAAATGATCCATTGAACTACTTGGAATCATTCCCTCCCGTATGTGACGCAAGTAATAAGAGCCTTGACATAAATTTTTTTGAAGCCTTTTTATTACCAATTAACCAAAGTAGTATTCACCTAGTTACATCAGTTCTTAATTATACAATTTTTACAAATATTCACAACACAGAAAACCTTGAAATCTAACATTTTAAAAAAATTTTAAAAGTATCAGCGCAAAAAAATGCACTCTTACTACAATATCAACAAAATTGTATGTCTCATCCTTGGCAAACAAATACAATCTGCTTCATTTTGGTCCATAAAATGAGACTTCTAAATGACACAAACAAACCTTGCACAAAAATGAGTGAAACCTAATATCTGTTCACCACCTGAGGTGGATCATATGTAAAATTGGGAAAATGTTGAAATGCATATATGTGAAATTTGGATGATTATATTGGGACTCACACAGGCAGTTGTAAAAGAAGCTTTTACATGTATCATCCAGTTCAACATTTCGAGCTGTTTCCTTAATTTTGATAAACATCACAAAAATACTCAAAAATTTTCTAGGCTCAAACATTAGAGTTTGAAAAATCCTACTCAACACCATCCTCAAGTGTAAAAGAACTTTTGCAGTTGAACTTAAGGAACATAGCAGGGCTTCTAGAAGTAAATATCCCATATCTAATCTAAGTCAAGAACATCCATTAATTACTGCTTTACTCTAATGGATTCACTGTAACCAAAATTGCCTAGTAAACAATAACAGCATTCATGGAAAAAAAAACCAGAAAATAATTACAATTTAATGGCCCAGAGCAATTTCTCTGGCACTTCATTGTGGCTTCTGGTACTTGGAAGGCCAACCTGCCTGTTTACACACTGCCTCCTTTGTTGGGTGGACATATTTGCCCTATGCCGTGAGTCCAGTTCTTTGAAGAAAGAAGAAACCTCCTCTGCCCTCCAGACAAGATGCTTTGTGGACAGGGTGTCATCCTCGCCATCAGATTCATCTGAGGATATCATTGACAAATGCAATGCCTTGAACAATTCTGACTCCTTTTCTTCCTCAGTAACCACTCTCAGTCTCTTCTCCAGTTTCTAGGGTAAAACATGAAAAGTTTTAGACTTAGCAGACTTTCATTAAATAAACAATAGTTGTGGTTAGGAGAGATAACATCATTTGAAATAGATGTTTCTCTCTAACTCATAATACTTAAAGACATTTCCAAAACTGCTTGGCTCATTGCACAACTAACATGACATTCAATTTTCAATATTAAACTAAGCTCAAGCAGAAAAACATCAATACTGGCAATCTCCACAATCACATAGGGTAGAGAAATAGAGGAAAAAAGAAAGAGTTTAAGAGGTGAATGAAATGGTCCACAGTTAACTTTTTTGTGTAGAAACATCATTGAAGCAAGCTAACTCTTACCCTTTTAATTCTTTGCCTCCTCTTCTGTTCCCTTTGGTACTGCTCATATGTACCATTTTCCATCTGCCTCCTCTTTCTTTTGTTGGAGGCAAAGTTTTGAGAGACAGCATCTGAAAATTTAAATATTTCTGAGGTCAGGCCAGGAAACCAAGGTTTAATACTGAAGCTGTACCCGAGAAAATTTTGACTAGCTTTATACAGTTAATGTACCAGAGCTAAAATCATTTACTCTGTTGAAAAAAAGACAACATGTAGGCATTGTGAGCCAACTTAGGTGATATAAACAGAGCAGGTTTCTTGTGGTTTAACTTTAAAAGAAATCAATCCCAATGAAGCAAAAGTTGAGTGAGATATCCATTTCTTGGAGTTGATAAGTGATAAATAGTTGACTTAAAGGTCCTGACCAATTAAAACAATCAATAACAAAGGGAAACATACCAAATATCCGCCTCTCTGTGCAGAGAGAGTCATTCTTTACGTGCTCAACTTCTTGAACTTCTTTAAGAAGTCTTCTGGCAACTTCTTGGTTTGGTGGCTCATTCTCCCTGTTGGAATATAATGTGTAGATAAAAGTAAATTGCAAAACCTCAAAGTCATTTCCAGCATAGGTTCCCCTCTTTGGTGCCCCCAAATAGAAACTGTAACTCATTATTCAAATGGTTAGGTTTATGAGAAACCTCTTCTTTTGGTGTAAGTGGTACAAATAGCCCAAATGGAGCCATGACACAGCATTCCTCAGTATGGTATTCTTACAGTGAACTTCCATGGACTAACATGAGTGATCAAGAAAACGTGGGACTAAAACGATGATTTTTACTTCTGCTCTCACCACTTTAATTCTACTTTTTTCCTTTGTGGTTGAGATTTTATTAATGCGTAGCTCTTCAAACCACTTGCACCTCCCACTTTCTTTCCACATGGACTTCCGTTGTAAACTATTCAATCACAAACTATGTTACAAGTATCTTTACTCCCCTTTGGCTATGAACTTACTTCCTTTCCGTGTTCCACGACAGTCCTAACTGTTCCATCTTGGAGCGGACGTAATGCTGTGAATGATCATCAATAAATGCAAGAGGAATTTAACTGAGTGTTTTAAACATCAAAAAATTTAAGTTTGTCATTCCTTCTCTCTTTCTAAGAGAGAGCAAACAAATCAATCGCTCACATGCATAAACACATCTTTGAACTAAGGGGACGTTAGCGTCACCGAAAGAGGACGGATGATAAAAGAAATTCGCAACCGACAGCAAGTCAAAATGGCGGGGATCGGCTTTGATCAATCAAAAGGTGTGATATAAATCACAAAATGCGCACGAAATTTGAAAACGTCTTTTGACTTCACTTTCCATGTTCTTACCGGGTAATCCTTTGATATATCTTATAAATTTTATGGTTAACATTCTCAACGCAAAGAAATAGCAAAGAGGAAAATATTCACGTATCTTACCGAAAGATCAGGGTGCCGTGCGATTTTTCTTTTTCTTGAAGAATTCGGCGGCGTCACTGCATCATAGCTTCCAGTCTCATGGCTGGTTAGTTTGGCTTCTAGCGTGGATATCCTGTCTTCCATAGTTTTTAAAGCCATTTACCATCGTAGAATGGATCCTCTCCAAAGTTTGCAGGACTGTATCGGAGAAGTCAGTCTGGTTACCTTCGATAATGCTTAAGGAGTCATTTATGTCCGACAATTTAGCTGCAAGACTAGATTGATCGGACCTTTCCAACTTCTCATGTAAATCTTTGAGTCTACTCAAGACTTGGCGAAATTCGGATACATTTGAGGCTCTGCTAGATGCCATTTCTCGATAAAGAGTTAGGTAAATAGACAGCTTTCACTCGACTTGCAAGTCGTACGTGGAATGATTGTTGTGAGTTTTCCCTTCACGAACAAACTAAAACAAGGAATATGATTGGTCCAATGAAGTATGCAGTCATAACAATCGATATGATTGGTCAAAAATTTCGTGCATGATGGTCAGCGGTCTTATGTATGGCGCCAAGAGGGACGCAAAAAATTAAAATCCTTCATCAAGGTATTGTTCTTAGTGGTCAATTTAAACAATTAACAAAATTTATTAAGTATTTGACAAGATTTCATCCTGTATTTTGGGATTGAAGTTCCTTTTTCGTTATTTTGCTGATTGGAGCACCTTACAATGCCAAAAAGAAGCTTTCCTCGCGAACTGAATCGGCGGAATAGGCGTCGAATTTATTGTTCTAGATGTGGAAATAGTTACTCCTATTCTGGAGCGAGGACACACGTTTGCCCGGACAGTTCTGGCGATGAAATCCACCGAGACGCTGATGATGCTCCACAGCTTTTGTCAAACGGCAACTTATGCAATGGCGATGGCCTTGAGACAGAGTCGCCGATCAACTGCCATGAGGTAGATGAGGGCATCGATGGAACTGAGGCGGAACTCATCGATTGCCCTTTGTCTCCAGATCTTAGAAGAAGACTCAAGGACCGATTAAGGAAACGTTTTAGCGAAGAAGATCTGTCTTACTTTGAGGACGACGATGAAGAGATCGAAGCATATGAAAGTGGTAGAAATGTCAGGGAAGATTCTGTGAACGAAGACTGGTCTGGTTTTCCAAATGCTCAAGACTCTGAAGAGGATTTTGAGCAGAATCAATCAACTGAGAATGCCGATGAATATTCACCCTCAATCTCCGACAGATGCGGTATTCTTGTATTTTGGTTGTTATTGTTTCTAGTATCCTGGCAGTCAGCTTTTTTTGTTACAGACTCAGCTGTTGAAATGCTACTCAAATTTCTTAGTCGTTTCTTGGGGCTTCTTGGAACTTTTGATGAGAATGGTATAATTTCTAGACTTTCAAAACGTTTGCCAAGTACGCTTTACAAGTTAAGGAAGAACCTTGGGCTACTAGGAAATGATGAATTTATTAAATATGTTGTGTGCCCAAAGTGCAAAAACCTGTATGATTACAAAGACTGCATCCAGAACCGTTGTGGAAGGCAAGTTTCAGCTCGATGTAAGTTTGTACCATGGTCAAGACACCCACACAGGAATCGCAGAGGTAAGAAACTACATAGCAGTCAGTTCATTTTATGTGCATGTGATGTATTCCTCCTCAAACTCATTAATTATTCTGAGGTTATTGGCCAATGAGTGGAAAGTATTTTGTCACATGCATAAAACTAGATACTTGATAAATATGTATATCTGTATTTCGTCACATGCATGAATCCAGATATCCAATAAAAACACATCCAGATCATCAGTGATCTGGATATAAGTTTCTACTGAATATCTAAATTTATGTGTATGTTTAAGGCAAATAAGAAAATTACACTACATTTGGGAAAACTTTCCTTTAGCAGTTTACCTTGCTCTTCACCCCTTTTCGGGATGTGAAAACGGTTAACTGCATTACTTTCTGCCATAATTAAGCTCCAACTAACCATAGAGCTATAAACTAAATGAGCAAAACTACCATAAATTTAGCACACACTTTGAATCCCCCAAAGAAACCCCAAAGAGACAACAGATGGATAGTTGCTGATAAAATGTCCAAAATTATGCAACCAACGAAAAGAGCATAACAATAATGTGACAATTTAGGTGATGATTGAAATAGGCAGTTTGTGAAGCAAGCTAAAAGGCTCTTGCTTCAGGTTTGGTTGTGGCATCCAAACATCTCAAAACAAATTAAACCAGCAGCCTTGTGCTTTCATTTCATGTTTCTCAACATTTGGATGCCACAATCAAACCCTTGCACTTGTTTTTTTATATACTACATCAAAGATATTGGGGGAGCAAAACTGGTGAGTTGCTGCATTCTTAAAATGAAGATTATTTTGCCTATTAGAAAAACTGTGGACTTTTCTCATCATCTTGGAGAGGGTTTTCTAGAAGTGAACAAGTTCAATGAGTATCAATGAGTACTCAGTAAGAAAGAATTTTTTATTTCTATATTAAATTACAGGTTTTCCACATGAGCTGGGTTTGTATAACTTTTGAAGTTCTTTTCCTTAGGTCCTTGTGATGAAATACTACTAAAGACTGTTCAGAATGGAACAAAAACATTTCTTTATCCAAGAATGGTGTATCCATATAACTCGATTGTGAAGTCTTTGCAGCGTCTTCTGGCTAGACCTGGACTGTGGAACAAATGTCAAGAATGGAGAAATCAGGTTTCCTCTGCAAATGTTAAGACAGATATCTACCAAGGGAATGTTTGGAGGAGCTGTCTTCAACTGGGTTTCTTTCAAACTCGAACAGCTTAGCTTTCATGCTTAATGTAGATTGGTTCAGACCTCATAAGCATTCACCAGGATCAGTTGGAGTTGTGTATCTTGTTCTACTTAATTTACCTCGTCATGAAAGATATAGACTTGAGAACATCATAGTAACTGGAATTCTGCCTGGACCTTCAGAGCCAAAGCTAACTGCCAACACTTTCCTTGAACCGCTTGTGAGAGAGTTACAAGCTTTGTGGGCTTGTAAGGAACGATTCTCAGTTCTTGGTAGTTTTTTTAAACGACCAATAAAGGTTGGACTCATTTGTGTCTCCTCAGACATTCCAGCCACAAGAAAAATAGGGGGATTTCTAAGTCACATGTCATCACAAGGGTGTTCTCGCTGTAAGAAATCTTTTGGTTCTAGAGATGGCCTCGATTTTAGTGGTTTTGATCGAGAAAACTGGAGCCCCAGAACATCCTCTGAGCATAAGTGTTCTGCAAAAAGAACAATGGATGAAACCAGCCCTACTGCACAACAAAAACTGTGTTCTCAGTTAGGTGCTAGGTATTCAGTTCTGCAAGAACTAGACTATTTTGACTGTATTCGCTACTTTGTTGTGGACCCCATGCACAATCTTTATCTGGGAACAGCCAAACACATCATGAAAAATGTGTGGCTTAATGAAAAAAATGATTTCATATCTGATGAGGACTTTCAAAGGATCCAAGAACTGGTCGATGGGATGACAGTGCCTCAAGATATTGGACGCATACCTGGAAAGATTGCCAACAGTTTTTCAGGATTTACTGCTGATCAATGGAAGAACTGGACAGTAGTTTATTCATTGTTTGCTTTAAAAGGAGTTCTCCTGAAAACCACCTTGAGTGTTGGCGTCATTTTGTCCTTGCCTGTAAAACTCTTGGAAAGAAAATTTTACTGATGATGATATTGAGCAGGGGACAGACATTTAATGGAATTTTGTCACACATTTGAAGAACTATGTGGGAAGGATCTGGTTACTCCAAATATGCATCTACATGGACACCTTAAAGAGTGCCTTCTAGATTATGGCCCCTTTCATTCTTTCTGGTGCTTCAGTTTTGAAAGATTTAATGGTATCCTGGGATCTTTTCAGACGAACAATCGCTCTATTGAAATTCAGTTGATGCGAAAATTTTTGTCACAAACCAAAGTTAAGGACTTTGAGTACCCAGAAATGTTTCAGGAGACTTTCTTGGAGTTTTTTGAGGGCTCACACAGTTCAGGGTCTGTAAAGGACACACAAGAGCCAATTAAACAGTTCCTCAGTCTTCGACAGCACAGGGAGATATCCATCAAAGACTTGCATTTGTGTGATTGGACTGCAAGTGATGATATAGTTGAAATGTCAACATTTAGAGATGAAACATTAGACACTGATGATTTAACTGCACTAGAGTCAGTATATAAAGAACTCTTAGGACTTGGTGAGGGTACCTTCCTTGAAATGCCACACACCATTGCAGAATTTAAATCGCTCAAAGTTGGATCTGTAGTGTATGGATCATCGCAAAGCCAGACCACAAGGAATTCATTTGTTCTAGCAAACTGGGCAGGTCATGAAGGACGGTTAGCTTGTAGCAGTGGATGTAATGATGTCAGACCAGGACAAGTTATTTCATTTTTTCGTCACCGTATTAAGGTTAAATTAGCAGAATCATATTTGCCAGAGCAGCGATACATGTTTTACTTTGCAAGAGTAAATTGGTACTCAGTTCATCCGGAACGTTTTTCACATGGAGTGCCAGTGGAAATCTGGTGTAACTCATTTGATCTGTTTCGCCCAGCTTGTTTCATGCCAGTTCAGAGAATTAAATCCAACTGTTCTTTAGGGGAAAAAGTTTACAAACAAGAAAATGTTTCTTGGGTAACAAGTTAGACTGATAGAAGGCTTCATTGCACTGATTTTTTATTTTGAGTTTAAAAATTACTGTCATACAAGTTATCGAAATGCAACAATAAAATATAATGATTATGTCTTCCATGTTGTTGTATTTTGTATATGCTAAGCATAGAGAGACTCAGCAAAATGAAGTATGATAATGTTTCAATGATCAATATAATAATTCTATTTCTGATGTAACTACCCATTAACAACAAATTACCAAACTGGCACAAATGAGCCATGGGACCAGTAATACCAAACTGGACATATGACCCAATTGGTGCAAAATACATTGTTTACAATGGAGCACTGGAAAAAATGACCTGCAAACACAAATGATCCAAGAGACAAATGATCCAAGAGACACAAATGATCAAAGAGACACAAATGATCAAAGAGACACAAATGATCCAATAGACAAAATGATCCAAGAGACACAAATGATCAAAGAGACACAAATGATCAAAGAGACACAAATGATCCAATAGACAAAATGATCCAACAGACACAAAATTATCTAAAAGGCACAAAAAATCCAGCAGACTCAAATGATGCAACAGAAACAAACAACCGACACTTGTGGCCCACTAGACATGAATGATCTAACAGACACAAATTATCTAATTATTTAATCTAATCAGACACAACTGCCTCAAATGACCCAATCAGCTAAAATGACTGAATTGCTTCAAATGACCCAATCAGTTCCAATAACCCAACCAGCTCAAATGACTGAATTGCCTCAAATGACCCAATCAGTTTCAGTGACCTAAGTGCCTCAAATGACCCAACTAGGTCAGATGACTGAATTGCCTCAAATGACCCAATTGGTTCCAGTGACCCAATTACCCCAAATGACCTAACCACCTCAGGTGACTAAATTGCCTCAAATGACCCAATTGGTTCCAGTGGCCCAACTGCCTTAAATGAGCTAATCAGTTCCAGTGACCCAACTGCCTCAAATAACCCAATCAGCTCAAATGACCGAACTGCTTCAAGTCAGCTTATCAGTTCCAATCAGCCAACTTCCTCAAATGACCCAATCAGCTCAAATAACCGAATTGCCTCAAATGACCTAGTGGGTTCCAGTGACCCAACTAACTCAGATGACCCGACCACCTCAGATAACTGAATTGCCTCAAATGACCCAATTGGCTTCAGTGGCCCAATTGCCTCAAATGAGCTAGTCAGTTCCAGAGACCCAAAAGCCTCAAATGACCCAATCGGCTCAAATGACTGAATTGCATCAAATGACCCAATCAGTTCCAATGAGCCAACTGCCAAAATGACCCAATCAGCTCAAATTACTGAATTGCTTCAAATGACCTTGTCAGTTCCAATGAGCCAACTGCCTCAAATGACCCAAACAGCTCAGATAGTTAAATTGCCTCAAATGACCCAATTAGCTCCAGTGGCCCAATTGCTTCAAATGAGCTAATCAGTTCCAATTAGCCAACTTCCTCAAATGACCCAATCAGCTCAAATGACTGAATTGCCTCAAATGACCCAATCAGTCCCAATTAGCTAACTGCATATTGTATATTTTGGGGTGAAAAAATAAAGTTGTTGTTGTTGCTGTTGCCAAAATGACCCAACCAGCTCAAATAACTGAATTGCCTCAAATGACCCAATTGGTTCCAGAGGCCCAACTGCCTGAAATGAGCTTCTCAGTTCCAATGAGCCAACTTCCTCAAATGACCCAATCAGCTCAAATAACTGAATTGCCTAAAATGACCTTATCAGTTCCAATGAGCCAGCTGCCTCAAATGACCCAACCAGATCAGATAACTGAATTGTCTCAAATGACCTAATTAGCTCCAGTCGCCCAACTGCCTCAAATGAGCTAATCAGCTCCAGTGACCCAACTGCCTCAAATAACTCGATCAGTTCCAATGAGCCAACTGCCAAAATGACCCAACCAGCTGAGATAACTGTATTGCCTCAAATGACCCAATTGGCTCCAGTGGCCCAAGTGCCTCAAATGAGCTAATCATGATCAGTTCCAGTGACCCAACTGTCTCAAATGACCCAATACACATAAATGACCCAATAAGCTCAACTGCCTCAAATGACCCAAACGGCTCAAATGACCCAATCGTTGTCAATACTCTGAATATTAAACAAGCTATTCACTGGCGTTTTCATTGGGCAGGATCAAGAGCAGGAAATAATGATCACGATCGATGAACATGTTGTTTTCATGGCGTTCCAGAAAACAAACTGTTCATTTGCGTTTCCATGGAGCAAGAATATAATGGACGAACATCATGTTTTCTTTACGTTCACCATTAATAATTGTGTGTGAAAACACTTGGAGAATTCAGCGCTCGTACGCTCACGAAAACTACAAAAAAACAATGCAAGCTGTTTACTACTGTTTCCATAGAGCAGGAAAACAATGGACGAGCAACACGTTTTCATGGCATTCACCGTTAGTAATTCTGTGGGGAAAATGCTTGGAAAATGCAACGTTCGCGCGCTTGGGAAAACTATAGAAAAACGTTCAGGAAAACTAGCTGTACACTAGCGTTTTCGTGGAGCAGGAAAACAATCAACAAACATCATGTTTTCATTGCATTCACCGTTGATAACTCTGTGGGAAAACGCTTGGAAAATGCAGCGTTCGCGCGCCCGGGAAAACTATGGAAAAACGTTCAGGAAAACAAGCTGTACACTAGCGTTTTCGTGGAGCAGGAAAACAATAGAAAAACATCATGTTTTCATGGCATTCACCGTTAGTAATTCTGTGGGAAAACACGTGGAAAATGAAGCGTTCGCGCACACAGGAAAACTACAGAAAAACTTTCAAGAAAACAGGCTGTTCATTGGCATTTTCCTGGTGCAGGGTAACATGTGATGAACTTCGTGTTTTTCTTGAGTTTTACCGAGGGTGAACGGTAAATTTGCCATCCGTTTTCAGATATCAGAAAACATTAGTATGATGTCGAATTTTTCAGTCTTTCACCATTTCGGAAAACTAACGATGAACAAGGGTTTTTGTGCCGTGTAAGAAAACAGTAAAATGGTTCTTCAGGGGGTCTTAATCAGATGTAATACATGATAGAAAAATTCTTTTTGTTCTTTATTCAGAGTTTTTTTCACCATATGCCTGTATTCATCATCTGGTAATTCATTCAATGTCCGTGGTTCACTATTGTCTACAGATGGTATTCCTAAATCATCTGATAGATTATCATTGCCACTAAAATCAGGATGTAAATCCTGGTCCCCTTCTGCCTGATGTTATCGTTCTATATTTTGTGTGCAGGGGGCTATATCATCATATCTGTCTTCTATTTGATTTATTTGTTGCTGGATTTCATTGAAATCTTCATTACAAACAGCATATTGTTTCATTTGTTCTTTAATAACATTGGGGAGTACCATACATCTATCTTCATACGATGTAAAGTTTCCTAGTAAATCAGTTTCCTCATTTCTCCATGGAGTAAACAGCATTAAAAGTTCACGATAATGTTTTCCTGGTTCTTTTTGTTAGTTAAACCATACACTTCTTAAAACCCAAGCTTTAGAACGTCTCCTTGTTTTACTGTTTGTTGTCTTGACAAACTCATCATCATTTTGTTCATCATCAATATATTTTTCCAATGGAAGACCATCAATATCAATCTCATGTGTTTCCTCAACATATGGCTCTGAACTACAGTTGTCATACCATGCAGCCCAATCTGCTAGTGTTAAATTTTCTAATTTTGGTGGGCGCTTACAATATCTCTTAAATAACCCAGTGGTATATATTTCTTCAGAGTCATCATCCATTTCTTTAATGTCTTCTATAGGCCTCAAAAGCTCTACCCTTTCATCAGGAGGTGAAGTGTTTATAAATATGATTTGTGGATGGATGGATGCCTTTATTTAAAAATAAAAATATAAACCTCAGGGTAGCCCCGCCAGAAGCCCTAAAGAGCCCCCTGCTATCAATGGGAGCCCTGAGTATAAACTAAATAAAATACATTACAATTTCATGCGAAATACAAACACAAAGATATAAAACACAGTTATAAGGTTTTAGATTTCTAAATTTAGAATTATGTATATAAAAATTACTCTACTTTGATGAATTATAAACTATGGATCCATAGTAATAAAACGATTGTTTTGCAATTTCTGTCCGTCCCGAAGGTTGATGGATTAAATTTTTTTGGCGAGTATCACGGCTATATAAATGCTTATTGAAAGTAAAATAGTTCTTAAAAAACTGAGGGCATTGCCCATTTATACATTTGTTCACTAAATTCAAAGTGTGCTTGGATTGCCTCTAGGCTAAAGTTGTCAAATTCAGTTTGTCGATCGCATCCTCGCTACTTGAAGCTCTGCATACAATTCTTCCTGCTCGTCTCTGTAAGGACTCTAAAGCATTCTTATTTGCTTGTCCACAGCATCCCCACACTTTGTCGCAATATTCAACAATTGGTCTTATCATGGAAGTATAAATAATCTTCGCATTATGCCAAGTAATGTAGTAGCGAATTCGGCCAAGCACTCCAACCCTTTTACCAGCTTTAGCTAGGATGAATTTAACGTGATCGTTACAACTGAGGCGTTCATCAAACACCACGCCAAGATACTTGAACTGAGACACACGCTTGATATAAGTGCCATTTACACTAATGGTAAAAGAATATATATTAGGCAGGCGAGGTGATGTGCCAAATACTATAGCTTCAGTTTTGTAAACATTCAAAAACAAACTGTTCTGACGAAGCCAACATTCGATTGTTTTAAGTTCTTCGTTCAATCTTTCTTGTAATGCATCGACTCTGGAGGCGGCGTAAAACAAAACGGTGTCATCCGCATACATAAGCATACTGCAGCGATTCACAACATTGGGAAGATCATTTACATGAAGTATAAATAGTAAAGGTCTCAAAATGGATCCTTGCGGGACTGCAATGGGAATGGGCACTGGGTCAGATGATACACCCTGGAAGTCCAAAACCTGAGTTCGATCGTGGAGATAGTCTTTAAACCATGCAAGCTCTTTATCTAATACACCCATATAAGATAGCTTTTGTAGCAATAAGTCATGATTAACTGTATCAAAGGCTTTTCGAAAGTCAATGAAAACTGCACCTGTTAACATCCTTTGATCCATGTTTCTTCTTATGGTGTCTGCAAGTGAAAGAGCAGCAAATTTGGTGGAATGACATTTTCGAAAACCGCATTGAAATGGACTCAAAATATTATGTTCACGCAGATACTGATAAAGCTGATGATGAACAGCCCGCTCCAGTAACTTTGAGACAGTGGGTATAATTGAGATGGGACGATAGTTATCCATTTCCACTACCTTGCCCTTCTTAAAGAGAGGATGCTTTTCTCTTGTCTCGATGCTTTTCTCATGGGTAACTGCATTGTGATATAAACTGCTTCTCGTGCACTTATTTCTACATTATTAAGAAATTTACTGCCAATATCTCTTACTTGCTGTTTTATATTGCAATTGCTCTCTATAACTTCGGTAAAAGACTATCTCAAAAGTTCGCTCATACCTTTTTGTGATTTTGATATGTAATCTGCTATGTATACAGCACATGCGTATACATCTAATACATACTGTATATCCATATTTGCTCTCCATGCTGTTAGATAATCTGCATTATAGTTGTTTATGTGTATTTCATTTGGGTTTCGTTTCAAAAATATGGTAGCAGCATTTAAAGATGAACGGATAGCAAGCAAATAGTTTTCTTCGGTTATATTCACCTTAAGTAGTAAGTCCTCAAATGTCATATCTTCGCAATTTTGTAAATCATCCAGATAACTTTTTATTGATTTCCAGCTTTCTTTGTATGTCTTTATGTCACTATTGGGTGTCTTTTCATCAAATGGATACAATATCATTGTTTGTTTCATTGGAGGCTGTGGATAGTTGAATCTACAAGGATTGCTTGTATTTTTACGACATGTATGCATATGCCTATGTACTTGTCTACTGACAAGTTTTAACAGTTTTGGGTGGTCTATAGGTCTAATTCATGTAATGATTTTATCAATAAATGTTGTCACTTCTTTGTCACTATCTATATGAAATTGTGGTGCATCTTTTAGCCATATCAGCATGTGAATATGAGGTGATCCTCTCTGTTGGTATTCTACTCGATAAAACCAGTCTGATATTTTTTTTTTTCTATTAAAATAGAAAGTGAGTTAAAAACTGGTTGACTTGATAATCAAAATGTCTGGCACAAGTAACTGGGTCACTCTGTATCAAACGGCTTCTCTCTTCCCAGTTAAAATTCTCTATTTGCTCATCAGTATAAGTCGTATTGTCAACAAGCTGGGCAAGTATTCCAAGTAAATGCACCTATTGGGTTTCAGCAGATGAGAAACTGCAAAACAAGGCAGCTGGACCCAACTGTCTTATCATTGCAAACAAGTCTTTCTTGGCTTTTTCAAAATATGGTGGTGAACCTCTCAAAGCATTTAGAAATTTTGTAGCCTTCATCATGAGGAATAAGCCTATCTAAAGCTCCATGTTGTTTCAACTGTCCTGCGTTAATGCTTCGGCTATTTCCCTTTCATTTTCTAAGAGCAATGTGGCACTTTCCCAAAAGGATTTTCATTTGAAGTTTTTTTGTCTTAAGGAATATATTCTCCACACACATTGCAGCTCGTCTATCTGACCGTCTCAGTTCTGATTTACATATATCACTATAAGCTACTTTCACTTTTCGTTGTTCAGTATCCGGTCGTGGCTGTCCCAAAAATATTCCAGGATATGCTAGTTCTTCACAGTATTTGTCTCTAAAAACAGTTAGTGGCTGACTACCTTCAGCTGGAGCAACATTAAGGATATTTTGTCGTTCATTGTCTTCTAAAAAGTCTGTAGTAGTGAATAAAGTATCAGTAACACCAGCTGGAATTTGTTGAACATCTTCAATTTCATGTTATGTGGTAAGGGGTTGCTAGTAGCGTTGTGGTACTCAAATGTAGATGGTTTTGCTTTCCACTGTTTTGCCAGGCTCCTCGTCAGATATTATAGACAGTACTTTTTACCTAACGGTATTCATGAGTGCCTTTTGCAGGTTATTCATAATTAAATAGAGATTACTTCGCAATTATACATAAAATACATGTTTTAAATTAAAGTTCTAGTTCCCTTCTTATTTGGAATCTTGTCTCCATTGCTTCTACTTCGCTGATATAATCAAGGTCCTCTTCCTCCTCTTGGGAAGCACTTACATTTCGCTTTAGGACACCACTCTTGTTAAGGGCTGACAGCCTGCTGAAATATCTTGCAACTTGATGTGTTGAAAGCCATTGTTCCTTTGAAAACAATTTATCTCCATTTGACGATCTTTGACTCCTCATTTTACATACAATGTCAGCGATATTTGCTTTAACACCGGTTTCTTCTCCTTGGAAGAATGTTTCCGGCAAATAAGAGCGAAAGCGCTCGAAAACTCGGATTGACTTCTTTGATTTCTTCATTACCCAACCCTCCTCCAGTGATGGATTGTCAGCGGATACTGATGGGGATTCTGTCACTGACGGTGCACCACCAACTTCACCTTGCACATAGTCTCCTGTAACAGTTTTACAGGTCTCTGCACTTTGCTATAATGCTGTCATAGTTCGATTCTCTTTCTAACTTGATTAGGGTGGCGTCTAACATCAAGATGTTTCTCTAGACCGTTAAATTCCTTGTAGACTTTGACATATCCTTGTTCAGGGCAGGAATAGGAGGCGACCGATCACGTTGCTGACTCTGCTTCGTCTGATTGAATTATTTGCACCTCTGTTAATAATAATAATAAATAATAATAACTTGGGCCTGCGTTACTCCTGCACGAAACTTGCCGACATCTTGTAACGGTTGGCTAAATGGCTGAAGCTCTTTGCGACCTGTGGGACCTTGTGGAGTACCATACATCTGAGGCTGTGCCAGCGAAAAAAACCTGCCGGTGCCCACATTGTATGCCTTCCAAGCCCTCAGTCCAGCTGACTCGAACAAGAAATTGTTCAGTGCTTGAATTCCAGTCATGCTATGTTTCGTCATACTTTGAAAAGAATCTTTGATTTCTGCTACAGTGGCTTAACAGCCCTTTACTTCACCATACGATTCAATTGCAACCTTTATGTCATTGGCGGTGTTTATGTCATTTCCCTCGTTTATAAATCGCCACATGTGACTTTTAAGAGTGACTTTACGGCGGTACATGTTTTAGTGCCCTGTTTGTTCTCATTTGTTATTTTAATAATCTTAATTATTGTGCGTGCATCAACAGGACATCCACATTTCTTTCTCTGGTTTGTTTGGATAAGGTAAATAATCTGTTATTAATTAGATCACTAGTGAAGCAAAGAGAGGAGCTAGAAAGTTATTCTACAGAGTCATACCCTAAATTACTTATTTATACACTATTGAAAATGTCATCCACATAACAGCAATATAGATTTAAAAATTAAAATTTATCACGCTTACCCTCAAAGATTTCTACGCACTGTGGCATCTTTCAGCTGTGGCATGGAGTTAAGACTTGTACCACAGTGCTAAGGCTTTGCAGACCATATTTTACTATCTGTGCTTATGAGAAAAGTGATCGGCAAAATCATGGTGATTATAATGGTACTTATAACGCCGGCGATAGGTTTACAAACTGAGTCGAACCATATTTTACCATTTCGCAACACCACGATGGCAATCCTTTATTATGATCCAACACGTAAAACTGAAAATAATCATACAATGGCCAACTAAACTTAATTATCACAAGCTTAACTAATAAGCGAAAACCATTGAGGTGAATGATCCGAAAACAATACAACAACAACAGAATTGATCATTCGTGAAATCACCAAATAACGAGTACTTAAATCAAATGTACAACAATAAACATAACCTAGGAGCGCTACAATGTCACATGAACATACCTCTATCCCGATCGGGGCGGACAACGACGTGAAAGAAACGTGAAATAAGAAGTCTCGAAGAAACTTGGGTGCTATCGAGAAACCAGAGCACCATCGACACTAAACTATAAACGAGATCTGCTTACTAGGCGTTGTCGCGCATCACTGATCACGAGACTAAAGGGTAACGCAATTGTCACGATGTCACAGTACTCATAATAATAGTCGAAGTACCAGTGATAATGGCAATAGTATTAAAAATAATAACAACAATGATTATGATAATATTAATTCTTTTTATTGTATGGCACTACTCATCCTTCAACCAACCAAGGCCTAAATGGGATGCTTATTCCACCTGGAATTTGTCAGATTTCTCTGACATTTTTCTGGTACCCACTTATTTCCCTGGGTGGAGAGAGGCAATGTGGAAATTAGAAGTCTTGTCTGAAAACTTCAAAGAGGGACACAGACAGGGCTTGAACCCTAGATTAGGAGTTCAGCAAGCTAACCACCGAGACACAATTTTCTTTTTATAATAATAACAAAAGTATAGCTTATATGTTGTTGTTTACTAATGGTACCTAGTAATCTGTTAGTAAATAATAAGTCTAAAATTCTAAAACCAGTGATTCTAAAATCCGATTTACAAATTATTCTTTATAATACGATAAAAACAACTAATTAGCTGGGAAACGCCTTCTGAAATAAATGAGTTTTAAGAGCCTCTTTAAAGGCATTAACCAAAGATTAAATTTTAGTAATAAGGGGAAGATCGTTCCACAATTTTTGGACAGCCATGTAAAAAGATTGATCACCAGTTGTGGAAAGAGACTAGCATGATGGAATGTTAAAAAGTTTGCCATCATTTGATCTTAAGTAGTATCCACCCCCCGTGTCTTTCAGAGATACAAGTTCGGAAATTTAAGTCTGAGCAAGTTTATGAATGGCCTTAAAGGTGAACAATAAAATTTTAAAAACTATGCTACTGGTAACCAGTGTAGGGCTCTTAGCAGTGGTGTAATATGACGAAATTTACTCTCTTCGAATACAAGGCGTGCAGCAGCGTTCTGGGCTCTTTGCAGTTTCTGAATCTGATACGCCAATAAGCCATATAACAGGCTTTTACAATAGTTAAGGTGGCTAGAAATAAAGGCATGTATCAGAATTTCAGTACACTTTTTGCTAAGATATTTCCTTATCCTCCTGATATTGTTCAAATAATAGAATGTTGCCGAGCTTGTTTTCGTTATGTGATCACCTATTGATAGGTTAGAATCTAACCACACACCCAGATTCCAAACGGGAGATTGTGGAGCAATGACAGTGTCCAATAGTTATGGTATCAAATGTGACCATCAAATGTGACAAATAGAACCTATAAAGCATAAAGTTACCAGCCCTTGCTAAGAGAATTAGGTTCTCTTGTTGTTGCGTGATCTTCATCCCATACAATCTTTTCGCTCCCAAATCACATATCTTTAATTGTTCTATTCCACTGACTGAGACGTAGATTAATAACATACAATAGGGTTATTTAATAGACAATCGAAATATTCTGATACTGAGTGTGAAGAGGCAAGGGCCTGTTTCAATTAACACATTTTAATCTATTCAGCACTCGATTTACTACTCTTTTAAAGGGCGCGTGAAGAAGAAGTAAATTCGTAAAAAGCGGGAAATGATCTTAGCAAAAAAGACTACTTTGTTGGAACTGCAATAAAACAACTTTCCTATGAGGCATATTTAAATAGCAGCTTATCAACAACAGTCCTATTGGCTGGAAACTGATGCGTCTGACGTTCACCTTCAAACCAGTCATAGCTATTAATTGAGTACGAGCGAGTCAACTTATTGGTGCTAATTAAGACTTGAAGTTCTTCAAATTTGCATCAATTTCCCCTCAGCTTCCACACATGTTTAGAAAGCAGGATTTTGCAAAAATGGATGTTCTCCTCCACTTTGTTTTTTCCTTGCCGATTAAGAATGTTTTATCTTGTTTGGATGGTGAGGATATGTCACTTTGCCTTTTCTTAGCTTTTATTACGATTTGTCATTTTATGCTATTTATTTGCATTTCACGTCCGACTGTTACCCATGTAGATTTTACTTTTTTATTTTCTTCCTTACGTTTATCTTTTAATGTTAAAGATCTCAGTTGTTTTGAAGGGAGGAATTTTTAAAGACTGAAAAAAAAGTATTCTGGTTTTCAGTGCAGAAATCCGTTCCCAATCCTGTACTCGAGGGAGTATGTCGCAAGTTTGGATCAATTTGGAGGCGATATTCTAATTTCATTTATTTACCTTTTCTTGCCCTATGGTGAAAAACCCAAACTTTTCTTCGCAACACATTACCTGAAATTATGTTGACGGTTTATCAAGTATTTCCTCAAATTAGATTACATCCAGTCATAGCACAGTTATAGCACGCATATACAACGAGCTGTGCAATAAGCCTCCTAAGCGAGTTTTGCGGAAAATAGATCATCCCTAGCTTATACTGGCCTTGCGACTGGATTTTATTTCGATTCTGAATTCTTTTTATTCATCAATCCTTACTCTATTGTACTTAATTTTTATTGGAAGGTGGTGCTCATTCGAGGCTTTCTTCAAACGTGACTGGGCTTATTGCGGTAAGAATAAATGTATTTTTTCACGAGATGTACATATCAGTATTTTCCTCTTTCCCTTTTTTCAGTGTCAATAACTTCATGACTGTCGCGGAATCAAGAGGACTGTATACTTCTGAGGACTGTATACTTCTTTGTTTTCTAAACGCGTTTATTTTCTTCCATCACTCCTGACAATCTGAACATACTAACACTCTAACGATCTAATACCAATCTGCCCTTACAATTCAGTGCCACTTCGCTTCACAGTTCCAGTTGCGAAATAAAGTAATTTTCCCACAATCACGAGTTCAGTAAATTCCCAATCCCAAAGTACTGTAATATACCCTATTTTAGTTGCAATTTCACAATTACACGTTTCTTTCCCTTACCTAGTTCACTGTGCGCATGCAAATCAGTGTTGAACTTTGTTTACAACGTTGTGAAATATCATGTCACGAAATCTTCCTATTCGCGTTACAATCAGTCTAGTATTTCGTTACATTGTGTGACAATTTATAACATTAATCATTAATTATAAAGAAATCGTTCTCGACAATGACAAAAAATATGCAACAAATAAGTCATTAGATGATTTCCTTCAACTCCGTATATGTATGTTGCCAGCTTCTATAGAATAAGTAAACTAATTAAAAACATTTCTGTGAAAGAGCTGCAATTTTTTCTCATTGTCTTGACCTGTAGATGATGATCCGTATGAAGGATATCGTAAGACCGACAAGGCTTTCATTTATTCGCTTGAAAACAAAGAAGGACTGGCGCCGTTCAAAAGTATGGTGAAGCGTGGTTCCCAAGCAATCTATATGGGAATAAGCTATGGTCCAATATTTGGTGGTGGCCACGATATTTGTGTTGCTAACAACGCAGCTCATATTGCTCATTCGTACACCAACTTTGGTCACTCTTTCTTGGCTCCAAGTGAATTAAAGGAAAAGGTTACAGTGTTAGCTGGAACCTACCATTTTACTCCCAATGAAGTAGAGGTTTTTTATCTCCCTTAGAGCTGGAATTACAATTGCAGGTCTATTTCTGTTTCTAAGCCAGGTATTTGAACTTACATTTTCTCTGCCCACTAAGGAATGTTAATTTTTTTGTAACAGCAACTGTAGGCGTAGTTGTAGGCGTGTAGTATGCAAGGATGTACATGCTGTAGTTGCCTTAACCAGGATAAACTCCGAGGTTATAGGTTACTGAGGCTCAACTCATACGCAGACTTTTGATTATGTCTAGCGGGCACTATGATTAAAGTTGTAATTGAAGATTCTCTGCTTTGTTGTTGATATTATTATTACTGCATTTGAACTTTTAGTTAAATTTTTATGTCTAGTCTAAACTAAGTAATCCAAAAATATTTTAACAGGGGTGAAGAACAACTTTAACAAATCTTACGGAATAATTGGCAGGATATTGTAATTTATTTTAGAGGCGTAAAACCACAACACGTCACAGAATCATTTTGTAATCTTAATATTTACAAGTTGAACAAAGTCGGGTAACAATTAGAAATCTTCGCAAGA